TTAGCTCAGCGGCATAAGTGCCTGCCTTGCGAGGAGGCAGTCGTGAGTTCTATCCCCGGTACTGATAAAAAGGGAAAAAGACAAACAAACAAAAAAAAACCCCAAACAAACAAACAAACAAAAAACAAAAAGAAGCCTTTGGAATTCATTTGCAGGTCTTTGTAAAAGTTTAAAATGGGCCAAAGAAAGCCTAAAATGCTATCCTTATAGCTTACTGGGCAGTTATGGTGGAGTTTGGGAAGACAACACCAGAACGCTATTAAGTGAAACGTAGACAGGAAAGGCTATGCTGAAGTTTCAGAGGGGTAAGCATGGACTGCCATGCTTGTTACCCTGTTCCACAGAACTTAAATGCTGTAGGTCTCCAAATCTGAGACCTACTAGGAGGCCACATTTAATGATGACAGACTAGTTTGTCTGCTGGAGGCAACAGTATGATGCTTTTGGCCAAATTTACTGTGAGGATCAGGAACAGTTCAGAACAACTCAGAAACCTTATAGTTTGGCCACAAAAAAGAAACACATTTAAAGGTGTTCCAGCTAGGCATGATGGTGCGTGACTGTAATCTCAGTACTCAGGAAGGTGAGGCAGAAAGATGGCTCACAGTTTGAGGCTAGTCGGGCCTACACAGATAGTACAAGGCCAGCCTGAACTATATGAGAACCTGAATTACACAATGACCCCCCCCCAAAAAAAAAAGGTGTTCCCAAGCAGTGTTCCAGTTGCTAAACAGATTAGTGCTGTTAAAAAGATGCCGACTACGTTGCATTGGGACAGAAGATACCTTGAGAGTATTTCAGGAATCAGCAAGACCCCGCCCATCATCAGCTCAAAAGTGGGAGTATAAATTCCATTCCGTGACTTTCTCTTTGATGTCAAAGCCACAGGGCACTCTGTCCACCCAGGACTGTCTAGAGTGTCATCTCCCTGGGATTTATTTTGGTTGCTAAGGTACTCAGTAACCATGGAAGCTTTGCTTCACACAGGACCTCGTATGGTTTATGCTGACAGATCCTCATCATCTAGGTGATGCTGGTTTTTCAGGCATGCAGAACGAGTTCCTGTCATGGAGTCTTTTCCCCAGATGTATCTTGCTTAGGTCCCAAATATGTTTCTGTTTTCCTGTTCAAACTGTTTAGAATGGGAATGTTTATCTAGTATGTTTTTTTTTGTTTTTTTTTTGAGACACGAGTCTCACTTTAAAGTCCACGCTGGGCTCAAACTCACTGCAACCCTCCTGCTTGCTTCAGCCACCATATTTTTAAGTATGTAACTTTTTGATTTTTACAGGGTCACGCAGCTGTGTCTGACTCGAGTTTCAGGGGTTTTGGACTTGTAAGCAATGATGGAACTGTTCAGACTTTGTAGACTCTTTGGTAATGAACTAAGTACATGTTACTTTGAGAGGGTCAGAAGCCAACAGGCCAGGCATGGAGATCCTCAAGCCATGCTGCTACTAGACCCGCTCAGGGGTGCAGCCTGGTGCAGGCGGTTAAGGCACTAGAGACACTGCCCTGAAGGGAACTTGGGCTTCATCCCTTCCTACTGCTGGCCATCATGAGGTGTGCGGCTTCCTTTCTGTGCACACTGAACCCGAAGGCAACAGGGCAGCTGGTCAAGGTCTGAAATTTCTGAAAGGAGGCACAATAAACATTTTCTCCTCTTAAGTTGATTTTCAGATATTTTGTTAGTGATGGAAAGCTAACACAGGATCTTTCTGGTTGCTTTGAGGATTAGCTTTTAATTTGGTTTTCTAGGGAATGCTGCCTTTTATTGTGCTGAGTTTACTGTGCTTCTTTATCTATTATTTGCCATCAAATTAGAAGTTTCCAACTATGACTTCATCAATGTTTCATACTTTAATTTACCCTTCCTCTTCTTAGATCCAAGTTCTTATGTTAGGATACTTTTATCTTTTTCCATTTGCAACTGAAACACCCTTTATTTTTAAAATTAATCTTTTGTGTTGCTATTGGGATATATTATCAGATCTTTAATTGTGAAATTAGCTATTAAACCTATAGCTAATTTCTCATTTTCTATGTTGTATTTTTCAGTTCCACAAGTATATTTTTCATCTTTTTGCTGAGAATCCCATTCACTCATTATGTTGTTTTTCCTTTCAGATTTGAAGATATCTATGTAAACACTGTCTAGTTGTTGCTTGGTAATTCTACTGGGACTTCTCTAAGTTCTGGTCGTCTTTCTCCTGATTGTGGTTCACATTGTCACATATTCTGTATGTAATAAAGTCTTACGTGCTGAATACCGTGAGGGCTATGTTCCTTTAACTCGTTTTTACTGCATTCCTTCAAAGTGTTTCCTAGCAGTTAACTTGTTGATGGTTCAACTTAATCACATCAGGAAGACTCTTTTGTCTGATTTAAATAGTCTTAAACTGTGACTTCATAAAGTCTGGGTTCTTTTCTTTACGTATTATGATAGCTTTGTTAGTTTTATTTTCATTTTTTGGGTTTCCTTCTTCGAGACAAGGTCTTGCTGTGTAGCCCTGGCTGGCCTTACCTCACTGGCTGTTGCCTTCCTCTCCTGAGCACTGGGACTTTGCACGTGCCTCATGTACTTTGTTTTGTATTTATTTGTTTTTAGGGCAGGAGGGAAAGTCTGGTAACCATTCCAGTGGTCAAAGTAGAAGCGGTGTTATTGTCCATGGCCCCCCAGTCGGTTTTAACATGCATTGAAGATTAGCAACTGCTCTAAGGAAAGCTTTCTTTATAGCAGCACTGTTAGCAGTTTCTGCCGGTTTACTGTCCGTTGCAGCACGGCTGTCCTGTGTGCTGGAGGGTGCTCAACAGGAGATGCCAGGAGTAGCTCCTCCGTGACAACACAAAATGTTCTAAAAATTGTTAAATGGCTTATGTGAAACAAACTCAACTCAGGTTGAGAGCCCGTGCTCTGGCAGAAAAGATCACTGCTTTACCTTAAACCTTTGCTACTCAAAGCATGGTGTGCAAGCCACCTGTATTGACATCACTTATGGCACAGCATGTCGGCTCCCATCTGAAATCTGCATGTTAGCAAAATTCCAAACAATTCTATATGCCTTATCACAACAGCAAAAACCAGGGACCAGCAACTCACTCACTCTCCCTCCCCCCCACCCCTTTTTAATGTTGAGGATCAACCCAGGGCCTCACATAAAACAGGCAAGCACTCATCCCAATGAGCAAATGGTACCAAATGTTTACTTTTGGAACAAGACAGAAATATTTTAGACTTAGTTTTTTTGTTATTGTTGTTTTTAACAGAACTGTTTATACTAATATAATGAAAAAAGCAGCTACAGAAAACAAGTATGGATGTGGCTTGTGTTCCAATAAAACTATGCAGAAAACATGCATGTTATTAGACTATCTTTCCTCCATTAGACCTCTCAAGAGACTAAAGACAACAGATATAAATTATTTTATATGTAGCTTCCTATTGGACTTCCTTGGTTGTAAGCCATAAGTTGTGTGGGTTAAACAGATGATTCTTGAAATATTAGTAGTAGGATTTCTGTTAACTAGGTGGTATCTCTTTACTTCCACAAGTTTTATGTAAATGCTGCTAAACTATCCAGTAGTTCTCAGCCTTTATATATGATCTGATGGCACAGTTATCTTACTTTGTGTGAAAATGATTTATGGATATACTGGAATATTTATTCATTTATTTTGCCTTTAATAAATAGAGCTGATCACACTTTTAAAAAATTGCATTCATGTGACTTTATTAGCTCTCAGACAGTAGAAAAGGTATTTGACTCTCAAATAATTTCTTTTAAACAGGAAAGCTAAGGAGCCTCCAAAACATCTCTTGAAACATCTCTCATTTGTTTTGTGTCTCTTACGCCCTTCTAAAATTTGCATTTTAAAATTGACTGTTGTGCAGGAACAGGGAGTCTGAAGAGCCACAGTTAAAGGCTGATGCTTTGCTATTCTGAATAGGGATGGTATGGCACCAGAGTTTCTGGAAGAAACGAACAATGAAGATCTGCTTTGTTTTGTAATCTTTTTCCTAAATTACTTGATAATCAGGGAAGGCATGTTAGAAACCACAGAAGTGAAGCAGAAACGAAACAATTGACTTTCAACCAGTTAAGCAAAAAGGAGAAAGGTTATTTGACCAACAGGAATAATGGTGAAACCATTGAATAAGCCTGTGAAACCCACATTGAAACAAGCAGTTAATCTGTTTCACCGTCATATGTATTCGGTCCACAGTAGTTAGTCTGTGCCTATAGACCTCTCCAAGAGACATGACAATACCACTGGTGAGATGGTTTTCCCTGTCAGTGTACAAGGTATGACTGAAAATATGGTAGATATTTTAAAATATTTCTAAATTACTGAAGTAAAAGATACACTGGATACAAGGACATTAATATCCTCAAAATACTCCCTCTCACTGCAAACCACTTAATCTCATCATGCTTATTACTTTTTGAAGCAGTTGGTTGCCTTGTCATGGCTGCGTTCATATCCTGAATCATTTTTTTAAAATCTGCATCTCATGGTCCTTTGGACTTTGAGGAAGAGCCAGAATTCACACAATGCCAGATCAGTGAGGCAGACAGATGGCACTGGACAGCAGGATTGGCTGCATGTTTGACCACACCTGTTACGGACTCCCAGACCTGCTATAGCAAGTGGGGAAAATAAGGGGTCAAGGGTGTCCAAAGGAAGGTGAAGTATTTCTGATGGTGATTTATGGCAGTGTATGTTTTACTATAATTGCTATTTTTAAAAAAAATTTCAGCATTCACCATATATTTTGATCATTAGCCTTAGCCTTTACTCAGTATAAAGCACAGCCTCTCTTGAGTTGCTGCTATGTGCCAGGAGTTAACAGTGGGTCCATTAATGATCAAAAGCTTTCCTATTACAGCTGTCTTTCATGGCAGTCATCCTTTTATAATTTACAGGAGAATTCAGTTTTCATATTCTATTCTGGTTTTGGATTATAAAATTACATGGCTTAAAAGAACCAAGCAAATGAGCCAAATTTGTTAAATTTTATTTAGCATTCTTAGGCAGTACAGAAAATAAATATTTGGGTAACTCAAATCTAACAAACTGTATGTATTTTTTTCCATAGGAAAGCACAAGAAGACGACAGAAATACCGTGAGTCTTCAGAACTTCTGAATGAAGTAAACAGTTTCCCACAACAATCTAGCTATACAGACTTCGAAAATTCCTTTCATGAACCCTATCAGGATTTTACCAATTCAGATGGGATCAACAGGTCGCAATCTCCATCTTGGAGTATGTACTCTTCCACAGCTGGTGAGGAACTCACAGATTTACCAAGTTCTGCAGGACTTTGGTCTACAATTTCCCAGTTTACTCCGAGTGAAGAGATGATGGCAGATGTGCATTTTTATGGCCCCATCATATTTTTGCTTTTGATACTGGTGTGTCTTACTGTATATATTTTTTGAAAATATCAAATAAAATTCTTTTGATAATTTTTTAAATTTCTAGCTCTTCATAGTAATGTTGTATACTTATTTCAGGGCTTCCTTCCAGTCATTTTCAAGGTAATTGGCTTGAAAAGAGAAAACACATTTTAACAAAGTTGGTGAGCACTCTAAAAACTTTTCTTTACACTACAAATAGTGTCACTATAATTTTGAACAGTTTTCTGATTTTTCAGAACACAGAAAATTTAGAAAAGTAGTTAAATGTTTTTGATGAATTTAAACATTGAGATGACACTGATGAGTACTTTATCTTAGAAAAACTTATCTTCTTACTACTTTAATACAGAGAATGCATGCCTCAAAAAGCCTCAATAAACCACTTTGTATAGATTATCTTTTTTAAACCACATTACTAAATTCTAGGAAAATTTTATGAAATGTGATTAGTAATTTGCTTACCTTACTACAGTATGGACATTCACCAAATATGATGTTAAAACTGTGTCTACTTGTGAGAAGTCCTCTCAACCACTAAGATTTTAAAAAGAAGCAGTGTCAGCATGATTAAAATTATAGATATTCCAAAGATCATTTCCTTTCTTTTTTAATGCATTACAGTTTAACTCCAGATTTACTTTCCTAATTGTATTTTGTGAGAGAAAAGGATACATTTTCTGAGCCAATGCCAATTATTATGTTGACCAATAAGGGGAAATCAGCATGGAATTCAAAGTGTAAACCACTGAGCTAAAATAAAATTATGGTACCCTTAAGAAAATAACAGCATTTATATTTTCTTTACCCCCAAAACAGACATACACTAAGACGCATAAGTTCCTGCGTTCATATACCAAGTCCCTAAATCCATTACACATTAAGATGCCTATCGTGAAATGTACCTTACAGCTTTTGTAAATTTAGGTCTGTCTTCTGGAATTTTTTGGCAGAGGTGGGTACTAGGAATTGAACTCAAACTTGCCAAGCAGGCCATGTCATGTACCACAGAGCTACATCCCTAGCCCCTTAATTCTGGTTTAATCACTAACAGTGGGTTAATTCTCAGTCCACTGATTACAAGCAGAAGGCACTTTTTAAATATTAATACTCACTATTACAAAAGAAAATTCCCTCAGAGTTCTTTTTACATAAGATACTTTGTTTTATATAAAGTAACCTGATATCTATGTTTAAGTTCTCCAATGCTGAACACAGAGCACTAAACTGCTATTACTAATCACAAAGACAAAGAAGTGGCTAAAGAGGACTGAAAACTGAAAGAGCTATAAAATGGCAAGGCCTCTGTCATCACCTCAACTCTGCCCTAAGATGAGTGCTCCGGAGAGCAAACTTCACATATAGTAAACCAATGAAACAGTACCGCCTGGAAGTGGTACGGAATGTTCCAGATCACAGAAGGCATTCTAAATATCCAGAGCAGGAGCACTACATTTATATGCAGTCTAAGGAGCAGTAGCAGACACCACCTACGCGCCAACTCCTTTGCACTGCACTGTTTCCATCATGTGGCAGGAGGAATCTACAGTTCGCGTGGTGGCTACATGAGACTGACGGGAAGACTCCAGTGCACCATCACCTTCGTGTGTTCTGAGCAGTCGGCAGCCCCAGTGTGAGCTGCATCAGTGGACACTTCTGGACACTTTTTTCCTAGTCAGTAACTGTGATAAAGCAATGAGGCACACAGCATCTGGACTATCAACTGGTGAGAGGACTGCAAATGAGGAGACCACTGACTAAGTACACGGATCTTAAGTTCTTGTATTCAAATGTGCATACTCTCCATGTTTTGTTAGATGAAAAAAGTACTGCTAAGTTTCTTTAAAAATGTTACCTCATATAAGCATACTTGATGAAAAGACTGTCCACACTGGGAATTATTGCACACTTGATCAGGAATGGCACCATCAAGTTGATAGGCATAACAAATTCCACAATCCATAGTAAAATCCTTCAAGAGAAAAATATTTATACGCATATTTCTTTAAAATGCAGATTAGGAAGAAAAATGATATAGAACAATGGTGGCAAAGCTGTACCAAGGCTATGTCACGAGTGTTGTTTTTCTTTTAAGACAAAAATGTTAATGTGTTCATTGAGTTTTTGAAAACTAAAACCTCAGTATTGAGGTTTAATTGTGGGGTGGGCGTGTTGTAATAAATAAGTACATTTTGGGTTGACATTTAGACACCTAACTCTCAAAAGGTGGCCATCACTGACAGAAACAATATTAAATTTTTATAATGACTTAATTACAGCCACGTGTTTTTTGGGGGGGAGGTACCAGGAATTGAACTCAGGACCTTGTGCTTGCCATGTAGACTCTGTGCCGCTGAGCTACATCCTCTGCCTACAATATTAAATTTTATAAATGTACTTTTTATGAAGTGACTATTGCTATATTGTAGAAAATATAGTCATACCACAGTTTAACACCTAGAAAAGCCACTTCTCAGAATGTTTCCTTTTTCGCTCAAATATACACAGACACTAAATTTCATTTTTGGATGGCAAGATTTTATAGCTTTGGCAATTTGTCCATATATATATAAACAGTTTCCATGTATATAAGGACAGGAACTGACATAAGCTAGTGATCATTAAACTGCAAAACTGTGCAACCTTAGCAACTCTGTCAAAAATCAACTGTATTTTATTATCTTTGCAATAACAGTTTCTATGCAGTTTTGAAAAACTGTACTTCCATCCTTCACAAACACTTGTATCAAACTAATTAGAACTTTATTTCAGTCATCCATAAGATAGTACAGAAAATCCAAACATTTAATTAGCTACTTTGTTATTAATAAATGACTGTCATTAATCACTTTGTTGCTAAAAAGCATGAGAAAGGAACCCTTAAAAAACACCAATCAAAAGTTAGCAAGGTCTCTGATGAAACTATTGGTTGTAGTGCGGAGGTCTGTGCTGTGACCTTCTTGCAGTCCCTTCCTGCTAGCTGCCTCCTGCTGAGAAAGCACTGAAATTTCATTATGCAACACTATGTAAAACACCAAGGCACTGGTAAAACTTACAGATTTGTCTATGATCGTTCGAGCTGGAAAATCAATTTCTAAAACATCTTTCAAATTTTGTAATAGACTACATTCTGGATCCCTGAAAGAAATGAGGAAAAAAAATCTGGTATAAAATTTGTAAATATCTTTGAAAAGTAACAATTACATTGCCAAGGTACCTACCACAAATGCATGTTTCTGCTCAGCTTAATTCCCAAGGGTTTTACAACTTCATGTATTTAAAAAAAAAAAGAAAAAATGTTTAAAAATTTAGCATTTGTTGCTCTTATTTGTAAAGGCATATTTGGTATATAATTTGTTTCTTAGTTGATTTGACAATTAAATATTAAAAGTATACAGTTCAGAATGAGAAATTTTTATATGACTAATATCTACTAATATTTAACAATGATTGACAAGGACTTCATGATTCTATAAAAATATTAGTTCTGAATCTTGTACCATGGTCCGCTCCTAGAAAGCAGCACTCAGGAAGCATAGTAGGATGCCTGGGGTCTACCTCGATGTTTATGGAAGCATTGTTCCCTAGAATGAAAAAGATTAAAATTCTTACAAGTGGAAGAGTTCATCAAACAAGTCAATAGACAATAAAGGGATGTTGTCTAGGTGCCAGTTTTAGTGTATGCCCAAGAAAAGATTTCACCGTATGTTTTATAAAGTTTTTGTGAAAGGACAAATGTCAGTTTAACCAAAATAATTTTAAAATTATGATTATCACGAAAGACTCAGAGCTCATGTTTCTGAAAAAACAGAGACAACTAATGAATTACTGAAACTCAAGGGGGATTCTCATCAGTTCTATTACATAAAGTTTCAATAAAGTTCTCCTATAATGATTAGACCTTTACTATCAATTTTCTTTAAAAACTAAAGAAATGATCTGCTGGATGGGGGTGCACGCCTGTGCTCCCAGCTACTCTGGAGGGGGATGGAGGGGAGTACAAATGGGAGGAGAGACTGGAGAGCGAAGGAGGACTGTGTAAAAACGGGGTGCACCTCAGTGGAAGAGCGTTTGCCAGGAATGCACGAGCCCTGTGTTTGATCCTTAGCGCTGCTACCAAAAAACCTTGTTTTTTTTTTTTTTTTTTTTAAAGTATAATAATGATCTAAATTATTCCATGGCTTTCTTGAAAAAGAAGTAGGCCAACTGCAAAGACTACAGTAAATGATAAAACATTTAAATTTTGTGAAAACTTATGAAAACACTCGAGTTCTTTTGCTGTTTATGAAGCTTTGCCTTGAAAATCATTCATTTACTAATAAAAAGTCTATTTTGCAGAGTCTAAAACAGCTATTTCTATTTTTGAATTCTTCACTGAATTGAAAGTTTTAACTGTACAGGAGTACAATAAAACCTTCAAAAATTGTATTGTTATTTTCAGAAAATATTTAGTATAATTAAGATCAAGTAGGTCTTCATTTTATGGGGAAAATATCCCGATAACATCTGTATACTGTTAAACAGGCTTTCAGCTATCATTGGCAATAATCTAAACAGAATTATTACAAATCTGGCAAAAAGCTATCAAGGCATATATCCATTCAACAAAAAACATAAAAGTACAATCTCATTTATTCACACATTCTTTGCAATCATCATAAATTTAGCCTTTAGTAATGTCATCTATTGCTAATGCCATGAGAAAGTACTTTAACTGATGCCACAATTCACTAATCTTTCAAATAATTTGTTCAAAATTTGGTCCTAATGTGGTAAATCAATGCCTAAAAAAGTGGGGTAGTAATGAAAATATAAAGAATAAATAACTAGACAGTTTATGTTGAATAAGATATATAAAAAGTATATTTAAGAATAATTACAGTGTTATAATGAGACTATGAAAACAATAAATTACATTTCTTTGTCAAAATTATTTTCAATTTTAATATCTACTTGTACACAAATACATCATAATTTGGTTAATTATTCCAAATTCAATACTACTAGATATTTCCAAACTTGAAAAATAACAGTATTATTTTCAGAACATATAACTCTCCATCCCCAATTACAGATAATCTATTATGCCTTGGTTGAAAAGTACAAAAATTGTTCACTAGTTTAGGTGTGATCTACATCAGAATTTTAAAATGTCCTTCAGTAAGTCCTTCAAAACATATCTATATAAAGGAGAGACTTAAAGGGTAGCTTAATACCACACACGAAACTTAAGGTGGACACACATTCAGTTTAAAAGATCTAAAATGTCGACAAAAACTAACAAATATTGACTTTGTTCTGGTTGCTTGTAATGGAAATACATACCATCTCATTGTGAAGACCATACAACATTACAGGAATAGTTCCTGTATTATACATATTTCACTGTACTATATACCTTTATTTCACATATTCATCATCAAGAGATAGTATTTAAAATATATTCAATTCTTATTTTGTGCTGTTTATTCTTTAATGGCATGGCCTATTTCAGCTTTTTTATCCTATTTTTCTCAAAGTATTCTGAAATCCCTTTACACAAGTTTCACAGATGAAGACTTCATTAATTCTAACACTGATTTTTTTTCCCTCAAGTAATGAACAGTTTGAATAACCTGCTCTACTCCACCATTTCTGTGCCAATTAAAAGCTAATTAAATACTCTGAATGTTACTTCCAATGTCTCATCACTTTTTATTATGAAACACCCCTGTACTTGTCTTTTTCACCTAATTTATTGATGTTTAAGTATATAGTTATAAAATAAATCGTAATTTAATCTCAAAAAAGTTTTAAAAGGTACTCCATACAAAGAATTTTCATCTAAGATTTCAATTGTCACCAAGTTTTTGTGATACAAAATAAACATCTGTAAATAAACATCTCTAACCCTCTTTTCCCCTACCTAATGCAATTCTACGTGCTGTTACACTCCGTGTAGGCTTCTGTGGTTCCAGCACCCAAGTCTTCTCATCAATTTCATCCATGACATCCCAGAATGCCTTCAGGGATTCTAATGCTGCCAAAAACTGACTATGGATGCTTATTAAGGAGCTCTGTGAAAAGACGAAAGCTGAGGAAGTTTATGGCACTCTACTAATGGGAGGTAACATTCCACCCAAAATGCACTTAGAAATTTTAACCTGTTTCATGTTACTAAAAGGTAAACTGCAGTGAACTACGTTCTTGCTTTGCATATCTTCTCCCTTATTAGCATTAATGTCCTTTTTATTATCACTAGACTTTACACCTTAAACTACATTATGTATCTTATACTTCATGAATGGACTAGTAATATCTACATATCATTAACATGTATGTATAATTTTACTAATATATACATCTAATGCATTCAGAACATGATAATTTTAGCGTGAAAATAATCTTAATTTCATTTTTATTACAAAATGAAGGTAAATATGGTGCTGTTTATAATAAACTATCTTTAAATATTGCTAGGAAATAACTTCACAGCCATAATTAGACAAAAAGTATGATAAGGTTTATCATATATAAGAATTCAAACAAATTATGACTTTCCATGTTCAACTTTCAGTCAGTCTCAATTGAAAGCTGACTGAATTCACTGTATCAAAAAATCTTTTATGGGAGTTACCCTAAAAGGAGTTTTCCTAAGTAATGAGTAAAGCCATCATTTTCTTTAAAACACTGAGTTTCTCATAAAAGTTATGTTTAAAAGATACAACTATGAATACTTCTAGTAGAAAAAGTATTAGTAAGATCAGTTTTAAAAGAATTAAGGGCTTTAGCGACTTTCAAAAAGCAAATACAAAGTCACTAAGAAAAGTGCAAGTATATTCATCCAAAATTATGTGACACAATACAAAAGTCATACTTCTACAAGATTCAGGCAATCCAAGTTGTAAGGAAACAAATTTTAATACATAATATCTTATTTCATTTTTACAATAAATTTTAGTATTAGTGTTATATAGTACTTTGTAAAAATAGAATTCATTTTGTAAGATTAGATCTATAGGACAAAAAGTTTTATGTTCAACTTAACATACCCAATATAGTCCATATTCAATAAACTATCTGGGTCAATCAGTAAGGAAAACTACAGCCCTCATAACACATCAAATAAAATTAAATTAAGCAAATATACAATGAAATTATATCCTAATATAAAATTAAACAAATACACAATGAAATTATGTCAACACAATTCATTACAATGACTATGAGTAATGTGTCCACTAATTGTTATGCTTTACATGAGATACTGATGATTTCAAAATATATGAGACATTAAAGTACACTGGTTAAGATCACAGACTCAAGTCACATCTCAAATCTAGTTTCTACTCCACCACTAAAGGTCAATTTTGCATTTTTCTCAATAATTTCCTTAAATTTACTTAGCTTTAAAAAAAAACGGGTAAAACTAAACAGAACAAAGCAGAACAGAAGAAAACAATGTAAGTGACACAGATTTCAAAGCAAGACAACAGGAGATCTGCAGTGGCTACCATAATGTCTCTTGTTTTCTTCTAAGTAGCTGTCTGTATCTTCACATACAATGAATTCATACAAAACAAAATAGTATAAAACTGATCAGAACAGAGTGATGAAGGCATTACAGGCCTTCAAAACCAGACAATAGAAAAATCAACAATGGCTACTGTGACGTCTCTTGTTCTCTTCAAAATAGCTGTCCATATCTTCATAGATGTTGAAATTAACACAAAACAGACTAAAACCACGCTAAACAAAGACTAGAAGCATTACTGGATTTCAAGCATGACGATACAGAATCAGCAATGGATACCATAATGTCTGTTTTTCTTCAAAGTAGCTGTTCATCACATATAAATTGATTCTCATACACTGTTTAGGAGAAGGTGTAGGCATCTTTTAGGCTCTACATATATACCTATCCTTTCTGCATTAGAGGGAAAAACAAAACAGAACAAACAGATTACTAGAAAAATAAGAAACAAAAAAGACAAATAAATAACCATAGCAAAGAGCCCAAAACAGTAACGATATAGGCCTTCAAAACACGGTGTCAGAAACAGAACTAAGGTTGGTATTTTACATAGTGATCTTCACGAGTTCCTCAGGTCACCTGACACAAAATATAAAACTGTTCCAATCCTATAAATGTGAACTGCTTTGCTCTACAAACTGAACTTGTGGCAGAATCATCTTAGGGGTCTTAAGAGTGTCTATACAAATTTCAGTATTTTTTCTTTTCTCTTCCTTTTTTTTCTTCCTTTTCCCTGAGGTATTATTTTTTCCCCCTTTAAACTTACTTAGCTTTATCTTTATCTGTTAGCTAGCTTTCTGTCACAGTAATGAAGAACTTGAGATAATTAACATATGAAGTGAAAATCGTTACTTTGGTGTATGGTTTTGGGGTTTCCAGTCCAGTGTGAGGAAGATCCACTGCTTTGGGCCTATGATGAGGGTGCCAGATGACAATGATAAGGAGTGTAAGGTGAAACAAACTCCTCACCTCATGGACAGAAACCAAAGAGAGTAAAGAAGAGGCCAGAACTCCATAATGCCCTTTTAGGGTATGGCCCCAGTGACCTAGGGATCAATCAACCAATAGGCCCAACCTCTTAAAGATTCTATCACTTTCCAGTAGTTCTGCCCCAACAACCAACTCTTTCCACGCATCAGCCTTGTGGGGACACTTAAACTATAGCACTTCTGTTACATGGAATAATGTTAATCCTTACAAAATTTCAGATGATGTCGATAACTACTAACTAGGTAGCAAAATGTACACATTTGAAATTTTGTAGTCATTTTTATAAGAGATACAGTCTTTGACCTAGAGACATTCAGAGTCTAACACTGGAAATAGCAAATATAAAAAAATCAGCACCAAATTAGCAAGAGACTAATATCCATAAGATTTAGTTACTGATAAAATCAAAGATAAAAAGATAAATATATGTAATCCGGGGAGCTGAGGCTGCACGAGGTGTATTTCAGCACACCCACACAGGCCCAGGAAGTTTAAGATCATTGCTCCCAGCGGTTAAATGCCCACCCACCTTCCAGACACACTGGACTAGGCTCAGCACATTTTGCGGACCTAACTAGGCAACACCCAGCGACTTTTTTCAATCCGGGCAGCTGAAGCCACCTGAAGTTGAGTTCCTCAACGGGCACGGGCACAGGGAGAGTTGAAGACAATGCTTCCCAGTGTTTAAGTGTCTGTCCAGCTCCCAATAGCACTGGACTAGGCTCAGGAGATCCTGAGAGCCCAATTAGATGAAGCCCAGCGACCTTCGTTCAGTCAGGGGAGCTGAAGGCACATGAAGTGAGTTCCAGCGCATTGGAGCTAGCCTGGGGAGAGCTTTGCACCATCACCCACAGTGGTTAGGAGCCCGCACAGCTTCCTAGAACACCAAAGGTAGGACAGGAAGCCCTGTGTGATTAACTGGACAACCCAGCAACCTCCGTTCAGTCCCAGGAGCCACAGGCATAGGGGACAATTTCTAACAAGCCCAGGGGAAGCTTTGGAATATCATTTGAAACACAGAAATATAGAAAAATGAAAAGACGAAAGACCAAAATGCAATCTCAAACTTCCAGCCCATCCCAAAAAGCACTGGAGCCTTGTACATAGAAGAAAATATAAGCCATACACCTAAAATGCCTGAAATAATAGCAACTGAAATAAAGAAACAATGACAGGAAGATATAAAGGAATTCAAATTAGAAATAATCTCCCAGGAAAACAAGAAATGATAAAAGTAATGAAAAGAATGCCAAACACATCTAAAGAAGACATAGTTAAAAAATTAGAGTAACAATGCAAAAAGAGAGATTCCCTGAATGAACAATGTAAGGAAAAAACAGAATACATGAAGCAGATTCAAAGACATATACAGGAAATCAAAAATTCTACTGAAAGTTGTCAAAACCGCCTCAACGAAAATGAAGACAGAATTTCAAACCTCAAAGACAAGATTGCAGCTAGTGAACAGGAAAGGAAAAATCCTTTAAAAATAACAAGGAAACAGGAAATAATTCAACAGCTGCAAGATGATGCAAAGAAAAACAACATAAGATTGATAGGGACAAATGAAAAAGAGGGGGACAACACAAATGACATCAAGAAGCTATTTATTGAAGTAATAGCTGAAAAATTCCCAAACATGAGAATGGAAACTAACATACAGATTAGTGAAGCATATAAAACTCCAAATAGCCATAACCAAAATAAAACTACACCCAGACATATAATAATCACCATCCCAGAAACCCAACATAAGAACAGGATATTAAAAGCTGTTAAAAAAAGACAGATTGCCTATAAAGGAAAACCTGTCAGAAACACAGCAGACTTCTCAACACAATGAAGTACATAAATGAAGAAGAGCATGGAGTGAAGTATTTCAGATCCTAAAACGACTTCCAACCTAGACTGATGGACCTTGAAAAACTATTCTTCAAAATGGATGGAGAAATTAGATACTTCCATAATAAAGAACAGCTGAAAAATTTCATGACCTCCAAGCCAACCCTGCAAAGAATACTGAAAGACAGTTTAAGATACACACAGGAAAAAAACACTAAGCAAGGCAGACAATTAAACAGAACAGAAAGATAAAAGATGCAACAGCAGAAAGATAACATGTCAACAATAAACCAATATATGTTATAGTCATCAATTTAAGTGGCCTCAAATCACCAATTAAAAGAAACAGATTGGCAGAATGGATCAAGAAACAACATCCAATCATAAGTTTCTATAAGAAACCCATCTAACCCAAAAGGATACTCACAGACTAAAAGTAAAAGGATGAAAAACAGTACTTCATGCAACAGGAACCCCCCAAAAAGCAGGGGTAGCTATTCTGTTTGCAGACAACGTGAACTTCAAACCAAGACTGATTTGAAGAGATAAAGAAGATTACTATATACTATTTAGAGCAAAATTTCAAGAGGAAGAGATAAAAGTCTTAAATATATATGCACTAAATTCCAGAGACTCCAGTTATTCAAAGCAATATTAAAAGAAATGAAAAATCAAATAAGCAATAACACATATATAACAGGAGACCAACAC